CTCTCTGCCGCCTCTTAAAAACGAGACTTGCCGCCGACTTTCCGACAAAGGAATAAAGAAAAGAAACAACTAGCCACGCTACTCGGCTGAGGATGGCACGGCAAACCGTACCGCAACGCGGCACGGCACGGCGCAGCACGCCGCAGCGTGGCATGGCGGGTTCGGGTAGAGAGCCTTTCTGTATAGGGAGTGTGAGGGGATGCTTCGGGAAGACCGACCGACCGACCGACCGGCCGGTCGTTCAATGGCGTCGCCATTCGGGGGCTCGTCCCCAGGAAATAGAAAATTCCGAATGATGGAATTGCGCGATGTTTACTCGCCCCTCTCTCTCTCTCTTTTTCTCTATCTTTTTCTCTTTCTCTTTCTCGGAGAATCCGTGCTGCGTCAGCAAACATTCCGTCGTTACGATCCAGACTGTACAACCCATTTTAAGATATGACAACTCCGTATTCCACCGATATGTTACAAATTTCGTGATTTTTAAAATAAATAAAAAGGAAACGCATTTGATTAAAATACATCGAATCAAGATTGAATGTATTTTATGTTAAGTGAACGATATCAGAGTTGTAACAAATTCTTTATCTTAAAATTTCATAACTTTTTCCCTGACACATCAAAGATATTTTTTAATTTTGTGTCCTAATTCAGAAATTTAAACATTTTATTGAGAAATCAAGTTGACATAGTAATATAAATTATTATTGATATTAAAATATTGTAATATTTCTTTTCTTCAGAAAATATTGTGTTAATCAAAGAAATTGCTTTATTTGTCTATTAATAAAATTAACTTTCTTTGCAAAAGTTTATAACTATACATGATATTCTCAATTATTTTTTCGTTTTGGTTATTCATTACACGAGAATTAGAATTCCATTGCGATCGTGTAACTTTTTCTCCAGAGTGAAAGTGTGAAAAATCATAATTTTTATGTATGTATATACAAACAAATTTTTATTTTTCACGATTCCTTAGGGTAAAAGTTACACGATTGTTCTCCAGATAAAAGCTACGTTTGAAGGTTCAAGATTCATTTGGTATTTTATTTTTTGAAA